GGTCTTGTTCTGTCTTAACTATAACTTAGCTCGCCGCAAACACTGACCCAATCGCACGAAACAATATTCCTTACACCAAAACAACACATTCATACATACCTTTCTTACTACAATCACCATAATACCTCATTGTCTCTATGAAAATAATAACTACTCCCCATATTTACTACCATAGAGGAAAGTTCATCTGAACAATTACCATGAAAGTATTTATAGAAAAAGCACGAAAAAGATACATTATAGCTGAAACCGAAATGCCAGGTCAGGATCAATAACATTGCAGATTCTTCTCTGGATTATATCAAAAATCTCTAAATATATAACAGGAGCATCAGGCCTGATGTCGCAGGAATATTCAAAGCAAGGATGAATGGTAGACTTATAAATATGTAAAATAGATTCTGTCGAGAAAAAACTTCTAACCAACTTTTCTAGACGTAGACTTAGCATCTGTCTATATTTCTGAAATGAGGTATTATGTACACTATTTACATTATCCGGATTATTGACCTCATCTTTGTCGCCATATTTATTACAACGTTTCGGCCGTTGTACGCTCCGGCCTTCTTCAGGTGGGTGGAATGTCGAAATGAAACCCTTTATTTCGCTCACTGGGGTAGACTATTCTATTTCCACGTGCCATGTCTAATGGATGTCAGTTATCAGTTATCTCTTGTTAATTCCCCTCTCCAAGTTCTCCGCTGCCTTAACCGGGTATTGAACTTACACTCTTTGGGTCCTGTCATTGGATCTAACCAATGACTTTATCCACTGTGCCATGTGCCCTTGAGAACATCTGGGTATGAATTTCTGGGTATTATAAACATAATGGTAAAAAATGGTTGCTGAAGACTTTAGGTTTATAGTTCCCAGAAATTCGGGAAAAGGACTATTGTACGGTTACCATCAAGTCGACATGTTTTGTGAGGATCCAATTTAGAAATGATATCGGAAACCTTGGATGGAGTTATATGCATATTACTCAATGAAGACATTGCTCTAAGTGAAAAGCCAGGCAAAGGTACTCCAGATGAGTCAAGAGTAGAAATTGAAAAAGAATTTGAGAGTAAAACATACTGCTTTGCCAGCAGATGATGTTAACACCTTTAATTGAGTGAAGAGATGAAGGATAGAAGAATTATTCTTATTTAACACGCTATTAGAGAGACGCCATTAGTTACGTGGACCAAACTTGTTACAGGATATACGGTGCCTCAGTGTATGAGTAAACAAAATCTTTGCATCTTTGAAGACACGTTTACAATTATTGCGAGCAGATGCAAATAGGCCTATGTTGTGATCGGAACTATCATATGAGCGTTTCTAAATTCTTCTAGTAACTAACAACATTTTGTTTTTTGAGTCTGTCTATATTTCTGAGATGAGGTATTATGTACAGTATTTACATTAGTCGGACTATTGTCCTCATCTTTGTCGCCATATTTGTCACAGCGTTTCGGCCGTTGTACGCTCCGGCCTTCTTCAGGTGGTTGGAATTTCGAACTGAACCCTTTATTTCGCTCACTGGAGTAGACTGTTCTAATTCCACGTGCCATGTTTGATGGATGTCAGTTATCAGTTATCTCCTGCTAATTTTCCTCTCCAATTTCTCCACCGCCTTAAACAGGTATTGAACTCACACTCTTTGCGTCCTGTTACTGGATCTAACCAACGCCTTTATCCACTGTGCCATGTGTCCTTGAGGAATTAGTCAGTTATGTGCCATGTGCTTCGGCGTTCATGTATCTTTCGATAAATGATTGACGAGACAGATTTTTTTCCTGCAGTAGGTTGCTATTTGTTTCTGCGGTAGACCAGTTGGACGATCATGGATCTTTCGATACATACCTGACGAAGAAAAAAGGCTTAGGCAGAAGCGTCTATCTTTTTAAATTTGGATTTTTTAATGTAACTATAACAACAAAAACATTTCGCTTTCATTTTTGCTTTGAAAAAGTCGGAAGACGAAACGCGTCGGCAAAATCTAAGCTTTTTTCCAATTGTCATTTTATACCATATATATATATATATATATATATATATATATATATATATATATATATATATATATATATGGACTGCCGTAGCGAGTAATGGTGATAATATAAACGAAGTGGATGCCTCATGGAAGGGCGATGTAATCTTATATACTGCCAAATATTGTAATCTAAATCTGTAAAACATTCAGATAAAAACGTGGAGAGGGAACGAAGATTAGAAGGGATAAGGAAGAAAATGAGATGATACAAGCAAGGGGTTAGAAAAGAATAGGGGTATAAAATAATAGATTAAACATATCCCAACGGGTCCTGCTAATCATCGATTTAGAGAACTATTGAAAATCTTCGCCATTGTTGTCTTATACCGAGATTACCACAAGTATGGAGCCCCTAGTGATAATCAAATTCGCCGTTCATTAGTAATGGTCAACTAGACGAACTTGCTAATCTCTACCTTAAAATGAGGGGAAGATATCTTTTTCATTATCGTTATCCACGACTACCTCCTTGAGATTAAAAAAATCCTCTTGAATTTTTCCCGTTCCAACTTCTGTCAACTTTCATCTTAGTTCTTGTAAGTAAACGAATTAATTAAAAATGCTTTAGTTCTTGTAAGTAAACGAATTAATTAAAAATGTTTTAGTTCTTGTAAGTAAACGAATTAATTAAAAATGCTAATGAAAGATTTCTGTGGAATATAGTCACGTGACAGATTGTTAATTTTATTTGACTACTGAATAAAATTTTTTTAATTATTTAATTTAATTTTTTTTTTTTTTTACTTTTCGTATGTATTGTTGTTGTTTTTTTTGTGACACACTCAGATTTTATTTTAAAAAAAAAACAAAAAATCATTTACGATTGTTATGTGTCGGGTAGGAGGAAACAAGGCGATTTCAATTAAATTTAAAAACACATTGGTTCTCCATCGAAGCTTAGCTGACAGAGTCAACGCTTTAACCATTAGGCTACGGAAGACACATTGGCTCGCAAAATCTATATTCAGTCACGGTGAGTGAACGTGACACGAGGTCGTTTTTAATGTTGGGTGCCCATTACATGGACATATGGCACAAGGGCAACAATTGACCGGTTCCCGCAACCACAGAGTTAGAACCCCCGGTGATCAGGCGTCCCTCACAGATTTTCTGTGAACTTTCCGAAGATAGAAACACGACAGAGAAATTAGCAACAGATACCCCACTTTCATCCTAGTCCAAAATGAATAAATCCTTCCTTGTCATATTTTCTTCATGTTCTGTGCCGCGCCAGGAAATTTTTCTCCCCGGAATCGATACTTCAAATATACAAATCAACCCATTCGCCCTTGCATGGAGTATTGCTGCCATATATGGTTCGGGGCACCTTCTGTTTACCTCGGAGTTCCTGACAAGGTCCAGAGACGGATATGTAATATAATTGGCCCTGATCTGGCGTCTCGTCTACAGTTGCTCTCTCACAGACGCGCCGTTCCCTCTCTCTGTCTTTTTTACAAATACTTTCATGGTAATTGCTCCGATGAGCTGCTTTCACTGGTTCCCAGACTTCATGAATCCAAGCGTTCTACGAGACTAGCATCCCGCTCCCACCCTTACACTGTAAAAATTTTTAAATGTAGCCGTCTCTTCTACTCCAATAGCTTCATACCTCGCACCTCTCGCCTGTGGAACACCCTTCCCAATTACTGTTTCCCTGAGAGCTATAATCTTCAACTATTCAAATGTAATGTTAATCGACATCTCCAATTACCTTGATCTACCCACTATCCTTCTCCTCATCCTTTCCTCTATCACTCCTATCTGCTCTCGCTCCAAATCTTCTGCAACCCTCTGCATTCTAGTGGCTTCACGCCTTGCTCGGGGCGTAATGCTTTAAAAAAAAATTCACGTGTTTGTTTTAGCTTAAAATATATAGCAGTGTTAATTGGTTTATGAAGAAAATGATGAAAATAAAAAAAAACAAAAATGATTAATAATGATGACAATGCTTAAGCGAAGAAATTCGGATGAGTTAAGATTACTAAGTCTATTATAACTAGGGAGGGAAAGAAACTGAGAGAGCGTGAGAGAAATAAACTTAGAGAGAGAAAGAGAGAGTAAAAAAAGAGTGAAAATTGGTGAGAGAGAAGTAGCGACATACGAAGAAAAAACAGAGAGAGACAGACAGATAGAAAGAGAGAAAGAAAGAATTAAAAATTGAAAAGAGAATGAGCGTGAATTAAAGACTCGAGTGAGGGAGTTGCAAATGAACTACAGTGTAACCCGGATATAAGAGAGTTGTCGGGACCGGAGAAGAAGTCTCTTATATCCGGGTTTCTCTTATATCCGGGTCTCTCATATCCGGGGTTACACTGTATAACAAAATTGGAGTGAGAGAACAAAAAACATTTTTGGATGGAGGAAATGAAATCAAATATTGCCGAGAAACAGTTGGGGAAAGAGAGAATTAAAATTGGTAGGCGAGAGACTGACAGAAAATTAAACATTGGAGAGAGAATGATAATTAAAAAATGGCGAGAAAGAAAATTAAAAATTGGAGAGAGAGTGGCGGAGAATTAAACCTTGGAGAGAGAGAGAGAGAGAGAGAGTGATAGAGAATTAACAAATGATGAGAGAGAATTAAAAATTGGTGACAGGGTGAGAGAGAATTAAAAATTGGTGAGAGCGAGTATTAACAATTAGAGAGTAATAGAGAATTAGCTATTACGGAGAGAGAGAATTAAAAATTGGTGAGAGAGTATTAATAATTAGAGAGAGAGAGTTAGAGAATTAGCTATTGCGGAGAGAGAGGTGTTCGGATTTACAGTATGAGAATAAAGAAATTGAAGAGGCAGAAATTAAAATTTTATTGAAAGAAAATATAAATTTTTGTAGAACTAGAAAAAATTAAAGTTTTTGAGAGAGAATTAAAAGTTGGTGTAGCTAGAAAGAAAGAGGGAGAGAGAGAGAGAGAGAGCATGCATTAAAATTGGAAGAGTTACAGATAGAGGGTGACAGAAAATTAAGAATTAAGATGGCAATAGATAAATAGATAGATATGAACAGACTGAGATAGATAGATAGATAGATAGATATGAACAGACTGAGATAGATAGATAGAGATAGATAGATAGATAGATAGATAGATAGATAGATAGATAGATAGATAGATAGATATGAACAGACTGAGATAGATAAATAGATAGATATGAACAGACTGAGATAGATAGATAGATAGATAGATAGATAGATAGATAGATAGATAGATAGATAGATATGAACAGACTGAGATAGATAGATAGATAGATAGATAGATAATGAACAGACTGAGATAGATAGATAGATAGATAGATAGATAGATAGATAGATAGATATGAACAGACTGAGATAGATAGATAGATAGATAGATAGATAGTGAGAAAGAATGAGAGAAAAATTGATTTAGCTAGAGATAGAGAGCGATAGAGAAAAAAAGAATTAAAAATTGATATAGGAAGAGAAAGAAAGTGTGAGAGTGTGAAAGTGAGCAACATTTGTTAAGAAGCCATGGCAAACAGTGGATGACTTGAAGTGGGGCTCTGAACTTCACAGATGTTAATGTTTGGAAGATCTCGAAAAGCACTTTTAGAGCGATCCATTCTTGTCGGTTGTCACTTGTCTCCTTATAAAACAAAACAAAAGAAAAGAAATTAAAGTGTAAAAGAAAAATATCCCAGAAAATACCAACAACAGAAGGTCAAACGAGACGGATTGAGTCTCGAATATTCAGGAAAGTTGACCTCTGACATATCACGCGAAAAGATTCTCACATTAGTAGCGCAAGTACGGGCATGCGTGCGTATACTCAGAGATTGCCATCATGTCAAAACAGATATATCCAGGCCTAGACATACATGCACACACCAAATCTGATGACACACTGATATATTCACAGATACAACGAAAATACAAATTATATATATATATATATATATATATATATATATATATATATATATATATATATATATATATATATAACAAAGACCCTAGATACATATATACAGTGGAAGTAGAGGGGACGTACGTTTTTTAAAGTAATAGCCGTTTCAAAAACATCCGTTCTCTCTGCTTCACCCCGTATATTAACAGATAGTTCAAAAGCACAAGAGAGCATGGCATGAAGTTGAGAATATTAAGAGGAATCGTTTGTGTCCGCTAGACAATTGTTCGAATCTGGTAATAATTTCTTCTGCATCGAATTCATCTTACAATTCCTTCCCAATGGATAGCAATATGTATGATTGCAAATTCTCATTGGACAGCGAATTTTTTAACCTTGTCTTTGTGATCTTAAGCTTTGAAAATGTCCTCTCTCATTAGATTTGAGTAACTGATAGTGTGCAGATGACTTTATAAAGTTTTTTTTTATTCCTTTTTTTATTACTAAAACAGTTGTCTGTGTTTGTTTCTTTATTTATTACATTTCTATTTCTTATAGTGGGCCCATCAGGGGCTCACTTGCTATCGGGCAAGAGAACACCCATTCTATCATAATGGTATATATATATATATATATATATATATATATATATATATATATATATATATATATATAGGTAACTATACTCGTTTCGAAAAACCCTCGAATTTTTGATTTGCCAATAATCAAATCAATCCCGAGAAAAAAAAGGTATAAAAAAAAGAAAGAGCTACAAACATGAAAGTCTGTCGAAAAAATCGCACAGAAAAAACCAAAGAAAAAACCCCGATACGAGTAAACAACTAACAAAAAATCTCAATACAACCGTAGAGCAGACCTAGACAAACCTAGTGTGCCAGACAAACCTATCTAGGTTTCACCTAAGCGGATCGTCAGGAAAGCTAGCCAAAGAGGCAAAGGGAAACGCATATTTTCCCTGACGATCCGCTTAGGTGAAACCTAGGTAGGTTTGTCTGGCTCACTAGTTTATATATATATATATATATATATATATATATATATATATATATATATATATATATATATATATATATATATATATAATAGATAGTAATGGATAGCGGAGAGCCGAGTTCGAATTCCAGTCGAATCCATTACATTCACTTACGTGCTAATACCCTTGGGAAAAGTGTGAATCCTTTTCTTCTCCCTCGAGCTACGGGTAAAATAGCAGGACAAACTGGGTTTTATAGCCTTGGATGGCAACTGGTCTAGGAGAAGGACAACTCTGAATTCAAAACCTGCGGAGGGTCGTTTGGGGAACCTGTGGCACGTAGTGCATCAGGTCTCTGTATTCGGCCCTTCAAAAAGTGTGGCTGGTCCTGCACGAAACCTTCACCACTATAATCAAATCTCATGTGATGTTGTCGGGCTGTCGGTTTCCTGGGAACCGATCTGTTTGACCCTCATACGTCGAATTCGACGGGAGAGAGTCGAGTATTATATATATATATATATATATATTATGGTATATATTATGTATAGTGTGTTAAATTCCTTTTAAATAGTGAAAAATATCACGAGACATATTTTTTGTTTGAAATGTTGAAATTGGTGAAAATCGGGAAAATATCGACATTTATATAAGCCTACCCCGATTTTATCATCGACGTTTTAGCACATATTTATTGCCTTAGTTACGAGTATAGTAGTAGTATAGCTGGCCACTCGTATTCGAGGATATCTGTCTACTAATCCCTATTGCATACGCTTGCTCAGGCGCATTTGTGTTTATTCAACACCCACAGAGCCCACCTGTGGTTTATACTGCAACTATGCTGAGCAGAACAGTTTCTGGGAAAGAGCGTGATCAACAATTTGAACAAGGTTAGCACGCTCAAGCCCTCAGCCACGATGACTTATGACTTCGTGTTAGCACAGCTATCGAAGGCACCCAAGGGTGCTCAAGTGTTCCATCTACCCAATTTCACTCACAAGGCTTGGGTCAACCCGTGTGGTTTTCAGACAGTTTCCAAAGGTGCCGCATGCTGGGATCGAACCCCTCCTGTCCGATAACATCAGGAAGTTTCCTTCCTGACAAATCGACCAGGGTGAGATTCGAACCCGGGTCTCATGGTCAGAATGTGAACGTTCTAACCACTCGGTACCCATATGGTACGAGTATATATTGTATAGCTATTTACCAAGTGTAGCTTAGATGTGGCACAAGGCCGAGAGTTCGGAGCACCCAGTGAGGATCTAAAAAGTATATATGCTATACATTATTGTGTATGTATGTGTAAAATGCTTCTGAACACAGTAGTGACGTTGGCATTTCAGATAATGATTTTCCAAGCGTAGCTTAGGTGTGGCACAAGGCCGAAAATATGGAGCACCCAGTGAGAATCGAACTCACTACTCAGTCGTAATTGTTTCGGCGAGACAAGTTTCGAGGAGCCCATTTAGCAATTCAGATATGTCAAAGAGAAATCCTTTATTTAAATGAAAAATCGTATTCTCATGTTGTCAAGATGTACGGTTTGAACGAATGAGGCAAAGTAATCTTAGTTCAAATTTAAAAAAAAAATATTAGGTTGGTGCAAAAATAATGACGTAATAATGTCGTTTTTGACCGTCAAAAAACGACATTATTACGTCATTATTTTTGCACCAACCTAATAACACATACAGCAATCCATTCGTTAACTTGCAACCATCCTGCTCTTTGGGGTCGTGCACGTCCACAGAGTCATTTTGTACCTTTTCCTCAAAAATATGTCACCTTCACTGATGTCCACCTCTGATTTAGCCGGCTAAGAAGAAATAGACGATGGAATGTTTATTTATTTATGATTCTGTTTCTTTATTTTCGCCGCAAGCTTGTTGCATTTTTATGTGAATATGTGTCCGGGCATATTTCATGTGAATATGTGTCCGGGCATATTTTTGGGGAGGAAAGAGGGTAACTAATTTATCCCAATCAAGGCGATAATGCCACTAAAACACAAGTGCTTATTGGGAGTGAAAGGAAATGAGAAGATTTTAGAAGGAACCGGAAATCCCATTCTAAACAGGAAACAAGGGATCAAAAGTTCAAAAGATCGGGAAGGAGTTTGAACTGGATGATAGGCGAAACTATATTTGCTCTCAATACTGTATAAATTGTGTTTTAAAACTTTACGTAAGCAATATAAATTGCTATTGTTTTCTATATGGACTTGATATGCAGTTGAACAAATGTTAAATATAGCAGCTGCACATTCTAAAAACGGTGCGTATTATACATAGAAATTTTTTCCGGAATTTCGTTGCTTAGCCTTGTTGATGCGCATAGTATCAAGCATATACTATTGTATAATACGCAATAGGGTATTATACACTATTGCACATTATACAAGCATAAATACGGTATAGTGATTTTCTAAGCGTAGCTTAGATGTGACACAAGGTCGAAAGTAGGGGGCACCCAGTGAGGATGGAACTCACTACTCAGTCATAATTGTTCTAGTGTGAGTGCTTGATACTATACGATCACGGAGAATTTCAATGCTTGCTTTGAAACATAACATCCGCGGAAAACGATGGAATTGTCACATTACGTTGAGTATTATTAACAACTAGCAGCATGGCCCGACGTTGCCCGTGCTTGATTCAAAAATCGTACGACTCATACAACAATCGCTATCACATGACTTAAAATATTTTTGCCCTTCCTTGCCTTTAAAAGACAATCTCGCTCATGTACTTGAGGACAAAAAGATCAATTGGGAGAAACGGTGTGGTTAACGAGGGTCGCTCAGGGATGCATATACATACTTTACCCCCATTGCACACCCTATTGCCATTGCATACCCTAACCGCCATTGCTATACTGTAGATAGATAGATGGATAGATAGATATGAACAAACTTTGACAGCTAGCTCGATATATGAACTGTCAGAGAACAATAGATAGATAGATAGACAGATAGATAGATAAATAGATATGAACTGTCTCTAACAGCTAGCAAGTTAGATTATTGTCATGGGTCTTTACCTATAACTACACAATGAACTCTTCCTAACACTATGTATACTACGCCCCTCAAGAGAGAGAGACTTCGCGATTTGACGGTCGAACTCTCTGCCTCTGAGCAGAGAGAAACCCGGACGAGGCTCCGCCGAAGGGCAGTGTCTCGTTCGGGGAGGTTGACCAAACCGATCCAGTTTATACGGGTTCTACGGGCATTTTTGGGCCGAGCCTACGGGCTCAGGAAACCCACGTTAAACTCGGCCTTGTGCCACATGCAACCCTCGTGGGAGGGTGGCTAGATACCGAATCGAGTCGAGCTTCTCGGCTTGACGGTCGAACTCTCTGTCTCTGAGCAGAAAGGAAACCCGGACGAGGCTCCGCCGAAGGGCAGAGTCTCGTTCGGGGAGGTTGACCAACCCGATCTCGTTTATACGGGTTGTAGGGGCATTTTTTGGCCGAGCCTACGGGCTCAGGAAACCCACGTTAAACTCGGCCTTGTGCCACATGCAACCCTCGTGGGAGGGTGGCTAGATACCGAATCGAGCCGAGCTTCTCGGCTTGACGCTCGAACTCTCTGCCTCTGAGCAGAGAGGAACCCGGACGAAGCTCCGCCGAAGGGCAGAATCTCGTTCGGGGAGGTTGACCAACCCGATCCCGTTTATACGGGTTCTACGGGCATTTTTTTTGGCCGAGCCTAAGGGCTCGGGAAACCCACGTAAAACTCGGCCTTGTGCCACATTTTTTCCTCGTGGAGGGGGGCAAATAAAGATCGAATCGAGTCGAGCCGATAGTAGTTCACTCCAAACCAGACTGACAGTCATACTAACACCTTCCACATCTTGTATTATTATTTCGTGTAATATACCTTCGTTATTTCTACTCTTGTGTTCGTGTTGTTCTTCCTTAGTCCTAACCTGGACCATAACAATTATGAACAACTGGTAATACATAGAAAGATATGATAGACTTAAATCTCACTGCCCACTAGTCTTCAAACAACCATTAAACACATCAAACCAGTCAAAATACAAATGAACAAAACTAGCAAACCCAACCTAAAAACAAAGTAGACCCGACGTAAACCATTTCCTATAGCGGCGTGAAGAGGCTACGTTCCAAATTCCCAGAAGTGGAACACCGTCTTCTTCAGACTCAACCAGACCACCAGTTACATTTTGAAACCGGTATCAATGCTTCAAGCGCACTAGTGGTGTTCACAGTCCAGGGAATACTCCTCTCTTATAGCTAAAGACGACCACCTAAATCACCACGGCCACGGACTAGGAACCGACATCAAGGAAGAGTTTCCCTGTGGCACAGATAGAAGAAACAAACAAACGCGGAACCTGATCTCCGATATGTGTGCTTCCGCGTGGTACTTATCCATAGTACCACATTTATCTTTGCTCTCTATCGCCCTCAGAACGAAGGGACAGTATTCTTTGATTGTATATCAGAGTAAACTGATAATATCCTCACTCAATTTCCATCGACCAACGGTCATTTCTGTGGTGACTTCAGTATCTGTTATGGGAACTTACCCATAATAATAATGGACTATTCCTGACATTATAAATACTGCGCCTCTTAAGAGGTATATGGAGATTGTAAGACGAGGAAATAAAATTGAGAGCATATTGTAAGGACACTGGAATTGTGATACTTGTCGAGACAACATAGTTCACTCTAACCAAATCTGATAGTTATTACTAATACTTCTACTTCTTTGTATTATATTTCTGTTGTAATATATCTTTGTATTCCATACCTGTGTTCGTGTTATTCTTTCATTGGTTCTAACCTTGGACCATTACCGTGGTACAAGGAACTTGGACCATCACAGTATCATTCTGAAAGAATGGCTGTAATCTATTCCGACAAAACCGATTCTGAAAGCAGATTTTGCAGATTTCTCCATAACCTATGAACTGACCCAGATCTTCAGAGAACCTACCCGGGTCCCGGACGCTACGGATCATGAGGCGAACCTTCCGACCTCTTCCTAACCTCCTGCCCTGATAAATGCTTAGCAAAAGTTCTACTGCCACTAGGCATATCAGACCATTTCCTTATCAGTGTCCAGATCGATGCCAAACCTAAAGCATCCAGTGATGTACCGTTCTATTGAAGCATTTTTCGCTGTGTGGAAGCAGACCGGAAGAGCTTTCGATCCAAGATGATGGAAGCTCCCCTCCCAACCTTCTTCAATCATAACTGCTGCCATCATCACTGATTGGATCATTTCCGTAATGGAGAGTTTTATACTCAAAAAAATTCCAGCAAAAAAAAAAAAAAACAGCCAGCTGTAGTTCACAAATGAATGCGCTACGGCCATAACCCACTGGAACCACTGCTTCAGTATCTATCGCAAGGAGCGATGTAGTTTGGCCTTCACTGCATTCAGAACTGCCTACAGTCGCCGCAAAAATGTCTAGGCATGAAAAGTCCAGACCAAAGTTGAAAAGAAACAGATTGGATTCCATGAATTCTGGAAGATCAGCAACCAATGCACAGAGGTAAAGCGGCTGTGTCCACAATTACAGATAACACCAAGATCATATCCTTCTCGACAGATAAGGCGAACCTCTTCGCCTCCATCTTTTCCTCTAACTCAGCATTAGATGACAAAGACCATCCCTTTCCCAGGTCCCCACATCTCACTGAGCACAATATCAGTAATATTACCATAACAGCACGAGAAGTTTCTAAACTTATAAAAGGAAATCCACTGGCCCAGACAAAATTCCAAGAATTGTCCTTAAGAATATAAACCCGGAATTAAACTCCAATCCTAGAAAATGTTATTCAGCCGCTGCTTGAAGGAGAAATCCTTCCCAGGCCTGTGGAAAGTGTCAAGCGTTTTCCCGGTTTTCAAGATTGCAGGCGCGTTATCTTCGCCCTCCCAGTAGAGACCCATCAGTCTCCTCAGTGTCACCAGTAAACTTTTTGTGGTCATAATTCACAAAAAGGTCGTCAAGCACTTAGAAAAGAACAGCCTTTTCAGCGACGAGCAGTATCGGTTTCGGTCGGCCCGATCTACTGCTGATGACTTAATCACCATCACTTACAGAATCAGTGAGGCTCTTGACGACAAACACCCTCTCGAGGATCATAGCGCTAGATATCTCAAAGGCCTTCGACAAGGTGCCGCATAAAGGTTTACTACAAAAACTCTCCAGTTATGGATTCACTGGAAGGGTCTTCTCAATCATAAAATCCTTCCTAACAGGTAGGTCCCTGAAAGTACTTCTTAACGGACTGTCCTCCGGTGCCCTAGGGGTTAACGCAGGTTTCCCACAGGGGTCACTTCCTTGGAACAACCCTCTTTTTGATCTATATAAATGATCTCCCTAAGAATATAATCAGATCATTTGCTAACATCTATGCCGGCATTACTATATACGACGATACTATATACGATGGACTCGATGGCTAGAGATTGGCGATCTTTCACGAACAACACAATGAGGTAAAAACTGGCTGGTTACATCTAATGCCTCGAAGATCAAGCTAGTTACGTTCCAACATCGCCGATCTGACCCCGAACTACGACCAATCAATAAGATGGAGTTTCTCTCGGGGAAGTACCATGCTTTGAAAGACTGTTGGGCCTCACGCTCAAACCAGACCTCAAGTAGATACGATCCGTTGTTAAGGATGTAGGTAAAATTGCCTGCTCCCTGTACCGCTCCAGTAAGTACCTGACTCCTCCTGCTACCCTCTACCTTTACAAGAGCCAGATCAGGTCAAAAATGGAGTACTGTTCTCATATTTGGGCAGGAGCTGCCAAGACCTCACTCTCCGAGCCCTTGTGGGTGACGAATTAGTCACCATCCTTCAAACCCTTTCCCACGGATTTGATGTGGTAATCCTCTTGCTGCTCTACCGCTACTTTCATGGAAAGTGCTCTGACGAACTATATTCCCTGGTCCCGCCAAGGCAAACCTTCATGGCAAGAACACGCCATGCCACTTACATAGTAGCAAACCGCCTACATTCTCTCTCTATTCCATCGGTGAGAAGCAAGTTCCACTGAAGCAGCTTCATCCCGTGAACAACCTTCCTGTGAACCCGACTCCCAACAGGATGTTTCCCCGATCCCTACAATCTTAACCTATTCCCTCACCTATACACACAAATGGCCTTCAAATGTAAACCTCTACCTTGAGTGGCTACCGGGCCTTGTAAAGGATGACTATCAATGTAAAAAAAATCTGTCTGTTCATTATCTAGCTTGCTACCTATCACAGACAGTTCATATCTTTGTAGCGGAATATGCATGTATAAACGAAGAATTAAGATAATCTTCAAACACGGATCTACAAATTTCAATATTTTTTTTATTTCTTTGCGTATTATTTTTCTTTCAAATTAAAAGAAATGAATTACAAAAATAATTTGCGGATAACTTTACACAAAATGTTTTGTGTATCCATTTTTACAGTATAACAGAATGAAAAACAGAAAATGCGCCTATATGTGAGCAGATGTATAAGACAGGTCTATATTGATTTCACTGTGTGTATGTGAAATATCAGCAGTCAGCCGCATGAACGCAAGGCACTTGCAGCATGTAAACAAATTATCGCTAAGTATTATAATGTAATATTGTACTCTTGAATAAATATGCGAAAGATGTAAGTATTTGTGAGAATTTCGTTTTCGTGTGTGTAACAAACGGTCGAATAAACACCCTGGTCAAAAGTTCACTGAAAGACTAGTGAGCGAAGAAGAATTGATCATATTTATAATAAAATAGTCGGGGTCAGGATGAATTTAAAATTTACATTTATTAATCTCACGCTTAATGACAAATATATCTTTTCCAAATGTTTAAAAATTCCTTTTAAGTAAGAAAAATATTGTTGAAATTATTCTGAAGATGACAATCCAAAAGATATTTTACTGTCTACCAATTCAAAGAATTCTGAGCGCTCCGTACGACGTCGCTGGCTGGTTTATGTATATGAATACAGAAATATCTGGTGGCTGTTAAGGTACAAAAAATGAGTTTTCAGTGACAGCACTTAAATCTATTAGCAGTTTCCTACAATTCTGAAACGGGGCTCTATCTATCTATCTATCTATCTATCTATCTATCTATCTATCTATCTATCTCAGTTTGTCTGTCTGGCTATCTACTGCAAGCTGTTGATTATCTAGCTTGCAACCTATCACAGACAGTTCATATCTATCTATCTATCTATCTATCTATCTATCTATCTATCTATTGTTATAGGCTATCTATCTATTGTTCATATCTATCTACCTCAATAACAGACTGTTCATTATCTGGCTCTCTGTCAATGTTCATATCTATCTCTCTCTCTCTCTCTCTATATATATATATATATATATATATATATATATATATATATAAGCAAGTGTAAATGGATATAAATATATATAAATATATATTTCTACATATATATATATATATATATATAGATAGATAGATAGATAGATAGATAGATAGATAGATATGAACATTGACAGAGAGCTAGATAATGAAGTCTGCTATTGAGGTAGATAGATATGAATATATATATATATATATATATATATATATATATATATATATATATATATGAGGGACTCTCTTGTCGAATTCGCCGTATGTGGTTCCGACGACCATGAACTAATTATCTACATGTCTATGACGGGCATGACTTTTGAGTCCGGCTCGGGAATTGCACAAAAGACCACAAACAGTACAGGAGAGTGTATTGTATCCAAGTGCATCAGGAACACTGTTGGCTATGCTATTTTACTTTCGTGTTTCACATAGTCGACTGATGCTTACTTCTTGATGGTGCATTATTCCTGAATGGCAGCCAGAACAATACTCTATTCTCTTTATAGCTACCTCTTCAACGTTCTTGAATGAAATGTTGACGCAAGAAAGGTTGCTCTGCAGTTTATCTTTATACCTAAGCCAATGTCTACCAAC